GCTGTTCCCTTTGGACATCACTTTGTGGTCGCCATAAATACTTTGGTTCTGAACTCGAGTTCATGTGGTGTTCGTTGTCTGTCGAGAGATTCAATGGTTTTATGGCTGAGATATTCGGACCATTAGTTTGTTTGCGAACACTATTTCCCGCAACACTTGAAGTCGTTGTCACATCTCTTGGAGTTCCGCTTAGTATTGATCCCGAAGTCAAGTGATTACTCATTGAATGGTTAACCAACTGATGTTCACTGTTGTAATCAATGAGTGGTCTCTCATTATTGCTGACAATAGGCATATGAAGGGGTGGGCTATCAATGGTTTGTGCGTTTGGTTTGTAAGCACTTTGAGAGAGTGTTTGACTCAGAAGTCGTTGTCTTTCATCATTAATGAGTCGTTCTGTTTGTGAATTCAAAAGTTCTGAATAACGGACTAAATTGAAAGGCACTGAAGATGTAGTGCCACTTCCGGTCAATGGCATCGGTGCTGACGGACCGGGCAATTGGCCACGAAGTAGACCAAAGCGATCCAAATAGTAATTATCACCCAAACTGTAAATTTACAAGAATTTAGATTTATTTAATTTATTGCTAATATCATTAAGCCTTACCGATAAGAAGCACTGGGATGTGGCACGTGATGAGAGAGATGGCTAGGGTTAGGGTGAGGCAGGAACTGGTGATAAGGGAAGGTAAGGGCCTCATAAGGCAATAGATGTGATGGCAGAGGCATTGATACCAGAGATGAGGATGAGTTGGTTCGCAGACTCTCTTCGAATCCACTTCTGTAGGGCTGGAAACCTGACGATCGGTTCATAACATTGCTTTGTGTCGAGTGATTGCCAACAGAAGTAAGGCTTTCGTTATGAATATGAGATGGGGATGGCCTACAAGTGATGCACTTTTATAGTCTGTCCATATTTATAGGTATGAATATGGAAATGGATGGACTCACCGAACTTGAACTATAGGTGAGGTTCGTTGAGAGTGTGCATAGACTTCCCCACTGAGAAACCCTAGCCATACATAAGACACGAGTTTTATACTCACTAAGAGTAGAGAAAAGGAGTTGGGAAGTGAGGATAGCGAGACTACCCGGCCTTAGCCACGCTAGCAGTGATAACCTGGCGATGGACCCACCATTCCATTCATATATCTCCTAAAGTATTGATTAGAAAATAATAAAAAGATACACTCAACCCTTCACTCCTATCGCTCTGATGGGCCGGAATCGGTGCGATCGTCACTATTGGTGGCGATGGACCCACCATTCCATTCATATATCTCCTAAAGTATTGATTAGAAAATAATAAAAAGATACGTTTATTGATTGTGATCACTGATCAGTATCATTTTAGTTAATCATTAATTTTACAACTTTCACAAACTCGTAACCCTTTTGACCCCGTAATCTTACTTCAGTGCATTGCACTATACATTAACATGAGTACATTAACATTAACATCAATAGTTGCATTAATTTTGTAATTCTTAATGTTATACTGTACTATACTTTTACCCTAATAAGTAAATTATAAAGTAAATTATATCCTGGCACCAATGCACGTTTCTATGATCTGTATATTATTAGTCACAAGAATTTTATCTAAAAACATCTGACATGTGTAAATAACTGAGCAATATTTTGAGCTATAATTTCTTTAATAAAACATTTACACTAATAAAACGTCAATTATATAAATTATGTTAATAGAAAGAATGCAAACATATTTATATATGGCTAGAATAAATCATATCAATTCCCTTTCTTTTAATGATTTACAAGAAACTTTGCCATTTTAATAGGACATGGATGTGCCACCTCTGCACCGAAGAACTCAATGAATACATTTTAAAACAATCATATTATACTGTACAATACAGTATAAAATTTATATACTATAAATTAAAAGCCAACTTGAATTGAAATTCCCGACATAGACATAATCAATTTAGTTCATTTTATTAAAGATTGATAATGCAATAAAAAGGATCATGTTAGATATACAGTATAACCTAAACATTTTTGCTCTTTAATAATAAGTTATTATTAATAACTAAAATTGACAATGTCACCTATAAGTATTGTATAACAATTTATCTATACAGTACAGTAGCATACACTACAATAAATAAATCATTGTTTTGCTTAAACGCTCTCTTTTAAAGTGTAAAAGATTGTTAGATTTGATTAAAATTAATAATCATAATTTTAACATAATTCTCAGAAATACAGGTTTCCACTTCTGTATAATAGTTTAAAACGTATAAATTATATTAGTTCTCATAATGAGATCCCTGTCCATAACTGATAGCTTGAAAGTGTTGGCAATACTTGAGAACAATTCTGTACTTGAAATACTAATTAATAAATAATTGAACACAACTTTACCC